CTCTGGAGTGGTTATTCTGCGTAAACCAATCATTATAAAATGATAACGAAAAATTTATTGGGAAAAGTGGCGGCGGGTGAGGATGACGCGGCATGGGTCACTTGGAAAATGGCCTTGATGATAGCAATGCCGATATGCGCCATCTGTGTGGTGGTCATGGTCATTTATCATGTGCGCAAGACCCCAGAAAGGCCCGGAAATAGCGATGACTCGCAAGAGGCACCGGATCGACCTATCCTGGGCAGTGTTACTATTAGGGGTATGCTGGAAATGACTACCAGTGGTAGTGGCTCAGGTAGGTCAAATTAAAGTTTTATATATATACTTTGTAGCCAATTAAAAAAAAAAAAAAAATTATACTCGAACAAATGAAAATAAAAAATTTCAATATTTTATAGATAAATCTCAAATAGTTCTCAATTACAATAAAAATGATGATAATTTTTACCAAAGTTTGTATAAAACCTATCTTTTTATTTTTAATACATTCGAGATTGTATCAAAAAATCGTAGGATTTTGATTCGAATATTGATTTTCGAAACAATAGTGAAATAATGAAAAATACAAAACAATTTTACATATTATAAGACGATATTTGTACTGAATACATATCTATATATGTAAAAGAAAATCAAATACATGGAAATTTTTTTTTTTTTTTTTAAGTCTATGACGCGACTATATGCGTCAACCGTCATAGAATATAAAATCTTCATAATATATTTGTTCACGTTACTCGCCATAGAATAGAAAATATCTATAACGCAACCATATGTATGTAACTATAGAATAAAAGAATCTCTATGATCATATGCGTCATAGAATAAGAAATCTTCATGATCGTACGCCATAGAATAGAAAATATCTATAATGGAACTGTACTATATCGATCAGCACAGAATAGAAAATCCCTATGACATACATGTTGCGCCACCAGTCTCGAATGTGTTAAAACAATCAAGTAGAAAGTTCGAAATTTGTTGGTAAGAAATCGCGAGAACAAGTGTCATCTTCAATCATACTGAAATCCATATTCTTCAATGCCCATCCTCTCTTAAGTAGGCCTGCCGCTTCTGGTACAGCGAAGCATAGCCCGCCAGATTCAGCTGGTGGAGACGATCGGAAAAGGTCGGTTCGGTGAAGTGTGGCGTGGTCGTTGGAGAGGTGAGAATGTTGCTGTAAAAATCTTCAGTTCGCGCGAAGAAAGGTCTTGGTTCAGGGAGGCCGAAATTTACCAGACGGTGATGCTCAGGCACGACAATATCCTCGGATTCATCGCTGCCGATAACAAAGGTACATATATAAAGATCTACATGTAATAGGTATACATACCTAATATATACTAACATATAAATAATATGTATACTTTTTACTGGTCGAATGTTATAGGAAATACCTTTTAAAAATATTATTTTTTTGATATATTCGATGGATTTTTCGTTTTGAAATTATGAAAAATATAAAATATTGCATATTTAGGAACAAAATATCGTAGCTAATTTCGTTCTAACTATTAACTTATTTAAATTTGTGGTTTGTAATTCTATTAATTTATTGAAAAGAATGAAGAAGTTTTTGATTTCTTGAGAGAGAAATTTGTCGAACTCGAGAAAAGAAAATTGTTTTTTTTCTGTTCCATTTTTCTTGGAAATATATTTATAAGTATCTGATTTCAATAATAAATTGTCAAGTTTAATATAATGAATAATATTAAAAAAAACAATTAAAAATTAAATCATTCTTTATTAAAAATTTATTATATAATTATTAATCTGACCTAATCCAAACTATAAAACTAGAAATTAGATAAATTTTTGCATGATATCAATTAATTTATATTAGTTCTAAATTTAATTTCATTTCAAGTCAAAATTAAATAAGAAAAAAATTCATTCAATTATTAGCTGACTTGATAGTTTGCATTAGCTTGGAATAAATTTTCCATTATAAAACAACTAGCCATCAATTGTCTAGCAATAAATCTGAATAAAACTAACCTAACCTAATCTAACTATTTCTATTAATAACGTTTTAATAAACGACCATCAAGTGAAATCTTCAATATTATTCGGAATGATAATCTTGACTATTATAAAAGTCAAGATTGAAAAATAGTATATTTTTATAAATTTATAGATAATATTGAAAAATGTTTCGAAATTCTTGAAAAAAAAAATCCATAGAATTTTTATATTATTTAAAATTTTCATTTAAGAAATTATAAAAAAATAATTATAAATATTTAAATTTCCATCAAAATTTATGATTTATATATTAATATATAATCGAAAAAAATATATATTCGATAATCGAAAATTTACATTTCCATGTAAACCGTGAATGTTAGACATCCGCAAAATCAATAGCAGTGGATAAGTTGTTAAATTGTGTATATAGTGTAATTCGAATAATTCATATTCAAATTTGTGGTCTCTTTGTAAATCACTATTATCATCATCTTTCTAGTTATTGAGATGTTTATTCTTCAGATTGTTGGAGAATTATCCATATTATGATATTCATATACTAATTCGTCAATCATGTCATCATATTTTTTGTAATTTTATGTGATGGCAGTATATTATATCTGATTAATTTGATTTATTCAATAAAACGAGATATCGTCTTAAAATAATTTCACGCAAAATGAAGTTCACTTAATAAAATCATTAAAATTATTTAATGAATTAAGATAAAATATTTTTCAAATAATTCTAAATGATCAGTTATTATTTAAATTTTGATTATGAAATTATATTAATTTCACTTCTTACCTTATTTTATTTTAGATTAGAAAGTTAGTGAGAGAAATTACTTTCGATCCAACTTATATGTGTGAAAAAAATTGATGAAAACGAAATGTAAAATTATTATAAAGACTTCAAAATATAAAGATGCTCAAGCGTTGTTCAGATGCTTAAGTTATTCCAATTTTTTTAAAAATTATCTTTGATGTTTAAATTATATAAGCGATTATTTTTTTTGATTTTGAAAATGCAATTTTTTATGTTATTTTTTTGTGTAACTTTTCAAAAAAAAAAGAAAAGAAGATAAATCAAAAAATGAATTTATATCATATTTTTGATATAAAATCATTTACTCACTATTTATATGTTGAAAAAGTTTTATTGAATTCCTTATTGGGGCACTCCATAGAATGATCTTTTGTCTGCAAATGTTCTGAATAAAGTTGTATGTAAATAATAACTGTTAAATGCACAGATAGACCTTTTTAATCTTTTAAATATATCATTATCAAACATTAAAAGTGTTTTGATTGGATAGATTTTTTCAAGAGACATTAGAATATTTAAACTTGATGAAAGTATCATTGATGTATCGTTTAGTGCGAGGTCAAACGACGAGACACTGAACTCTATATGAATCATTAGATAGATCAGTGGAAATATCATGTTAATGACTTATAAATTATCTTTTATTGCTGTACCAATCATATGGGTCATATTGTACGTTTTCTTAATATTATTAGACTTTATGTGATTATAATTCTTTTATTTATGAGATTAAATTTTGATTGTAAAATTACACTAATTTCAATACTGTTATTTATTTCATTTATCGAAAATTTTTAATAACTCTGAGAAGCTAAATCCTTTTACTTTAATTTATAGTGATGCATGTGGGCATTTTAAGATTCGAGATAAAACCAAACTGAAGGATCTGTTCTGAAACGTTCGATTGGAATACTTCAGTTTTTTTATACTAATAATAAAAGTTCTTTTTAATTCTTTGCACTATGAAATTAGCTCTGACAACACTATTTTTCTTTAGAATTCTTGAAGAAAATAATTTCACTGCAAAAAATTATGAATAGAATAATAATAAAATTTTAAATAGCTCAATTATTATACATACAAGTTAAAAACATTTTTAACTTAACCTAACTTAAACATTTAACAACAAATAAAATCTTCACAACACTATTTAAAATAATAACTAATGTCATATTAAAAAATCATCAAAATCACAATATAATAGCTTTTTGTAAATAATTGTCGAATAAGTATTATTTTAAATAAACAATTTGCTACTTGATGAACTAATCCGAGATATATTGCATCTTTTAGATAATGGTACGTGGACCCAATTATGGTTAATCACGGATTATCACGAGAAAGGTTCGCTGTTCGATTATCTGAACAGATCTACCGTGGACACGAACGGCATGATCAGGATGGCCTTGTCGATCGCTACCGGGCTTGCGCATCTTCACATGGAGATCGTCGGTACTCAAGGGAAGCCCGCCATTGCTCACAGGGATCTCAAGTCGAAGAACATCCTTGTGAAAACGAATGGCACATGCGCGATTGGTGATCTCGGATTGGCTGTCAGACATGACGTAATAACAGACACCGTCGATATACAATTGAACAATCGGGTCGGCACTAAGCGATATATGGCACCCGAGGTAAAATAAATAAAAAATTATAAATAAAAAAAATTCATTTAATAATTTCGTTATTCATTGAAAAATTATTTTGATGAATTATATTTCTGATTTTGATAATATAATTGAAAAAATTTTTTATTTATTATTAATTTTATTATTAATTAATGATAGATCAAAATATCATTTTTTAAAAAAATTTATTTAATAAATTCTCTGCTCTAAGCGAAAACAATGTATTCGCATTGTCTGCTAGATAATTTAATTTTTTTTTTTTTTTTTTTTGAGGATAATTATATTACCAGCAGTGAGAAACATCCTTTGCTCCTTCATTTATTGTCGTTTTAATTTATTTTCGTACGTATAAAATTTCGAAATTTGTGAAAATATAATCTCAATCTTTAGATTAATATCTTTGAAATTAACTTTCGAAATAGATAAGCGAAAATTTCTTCTCGAGAATCCTGAGAATTGTTGCTTTTGCTTTCAGGTTCTCGAAGAGACGATAAACATGAACCATTTTGATTCCTTCAAGAGGGCTGACGTATACGCTCTCGGGCTGATCCTTTGGGAGATCGCGAGGCGATGTAACGTCGGCGGAATCCACGACGAATATCAGCTGCCGTTTTACGACTTGGTGCCTTCCGATCCGACGATTGAAGAGATGCGTAAAGTTGTGTGCACCGATAGACAGAGGCCGTCGATACCGAATCGGTGGCAATCTATTGACGTACGTATTATATTCCTTCATCATTCTATTTTTTTCTTTTTTCCAAACATAGATTCCATTTTTCATTTTTTCCTTTTTTTTCCTTTTTTTTCTTTTTCTTTTTCTAGGCATTGCAAGTGATGTCAAAGGTGATGAAAGAATGTTGGTATCACAACGCGGCAGCTAGGTTAACCGCGCTTAGGATTAAAAAATCTCTGGCCAATTATGGCGCGATGGAGGACCTGAAGTGAAAGAAAATTGGCAGTCGATTGTCAAGAAAAAAAAAAAAAAAAAAAAAAAAAAAAAAAAAAA